TTTATTGACCCTCAAATGCTGGGGGTATATTTTAAAAATCCACTGCTGAAAGCATGTTCCCATTGGCCCTATCCCTCTTCAAAGCAAATGAATGCAATGCCTTCTAAACCAACTCTCAAACCCCACAGTCAAAATGTCTACAAATGAACTGTTAATAGATTCAGTTTCTACCAAGCATTCATTTCAACTTTGGATACTTAGCATGATTATCCCAACTGGCTGCACAGAATGTGGCTTGCACTGGCAGAGAGACAAATAAATAAGGACGAGGGCTTGTTCCATTGCCCTGCATTGGATTTCCCCAGGCCAAGGACTTGCCCCTCCTGCTTTCCAAGCTTCCGGCTCTCCAGGCTGCCCAGCAGCATGACAACTAGTTACTAGAACAGCTGAATGGCTGAACAATGAGCAGGGATTCATCTCTTCTCTCCATGATTTGTATTTCAAGCTGCCTCCAGCATTGTGGAAAAGGCAGCAACAAAATAGATCACTAAAGGAAAGAGTGTATTTAAAGTACTTCCAGACACAATCTTATAATTCACGGAATGGTACAGGACTTTCCTTGGAACTCCCCCATTTCCTTCCCCCCTCATCATCATATGTTCCATCTTTCTGCTTTCCATAGAATGTCCATTATATAGGAAATGACAGGAAAGAGCTGTGCAATGCCTTTCCGTTGGTAGAGTCAGGAGCCCTGCGCTCAGAAGGCCAGAGTCGCCTCCATCTGTGTTTGGAGTACAACCCCTCAGTTGGCCAATGTTAAGAGGGGCCATGCCAGTAAATGATTTGGCTGATATCTGGCAAGGACAGGCATGTTTACATGAGAGAGAACCCTGGAAAAGGAATAAGGCGCTTGAGAAGAACAATAGGAAATGGTGCCAGTGTGCCTTGAAAACAAGTTTCTGAGGGCCAGAACAGATAAGACCTTTAACTGAAGGGGTAGCAACCATGTCTGGTTTCTTTCCTTTCTAATTAATACTCTGCATGGGATGGGAGGACAGCTCTATGGGAAGTAGCTGGACCACAAAGTGTATGGGAAGGAAAAGATTAAACCCTCTCCAGTTGCAATCCCAGTGAAATGAATTGCCTCCACCATTTGCAGTTAGTTAATACTGGGTGAAAACGCCTGCCAAAATGGCAGACTGAGGGCACCACAAGGATCCGCATGGATCTGACTTGCACAGCATGACAGCACAGCTCGATTTATTGTGTTGCACCAGGTGAGTGCAGGCACCATTTTATAAGCTGCCTGCAGCCACCTAGCAGCTCTGGCTCGTGTGTGTGAACCCAGGTGGCAAGAGTTGCTTGAAGGTTTGAGTTGCTTGAGAGCCAGTGTGGTGTAGTGGTTAGGAGCATGGGACTGGGACTCAGAGGATCTGGGTTCGAGTCCCCGCTCGGCCATGGAGCCAACTGGGTGACTTTGGGCCAGTCACAGACTCTCAGCCCAACCTACCTCACAGGGTTGTTGTTGTGGGGATAAGATGGAGGGGGAGAGATAATGTAAGCTGCCTTGAGCCCTTTGTAGGAAAAAGGCAGGATATAAATCAAAAAAATAAAATAAATAAAAAGGTTTGAGGATTATTTGAGGGTTGTCTAACCTAAAACAACTCCTGCCACCGGGTTTTGCATGATGCAGCAAGGTGGGCACCCACTGGGACCTGAAAAAATGGTGCCATGTGGCCACCAACACGGGTAAATAAAGCTACAGTGGGCTGTCGTGTTGTGAGCACCAGTTTACTGAGGTCTGTCATGCAATTTGGTGTTGTTTCCCCCCTCCCCACCAGATGCTCAGTTTCTTTCTACAAGTCCTACTTTGTTTTCTTGCACAGACTCAGAAGTAGTGAAAGAGTCCATGTGAACATGCTTAGTTTCATAATCCAGTGGGTGTCCATGGGAATAAAGTCAGTTTACATTCTAAAGGCTAGCCTAAACTCTTCAATATGGCAGCTGACTCTGCTATCATAAATGCTGAGAAGTCAGATTGCAGTTGGAGTGGTGAAAATCCTCATGGAAGATCTACGCGAGCACACCCATATCTTTTCATAGTCCTTTTCATAGTCCTGGAAAGGGCAAGCAGCAAATTCAGAAGGGTTGAATTTGCATGCATACACACAAGCACCGAGTGGATAGGTTGCATTTGGTTTTGTGTGCCAGGTGTAGTTGGGCTTTCCTTACCTGGTCTGCATTGCATCATTTCAGCATGCCCTGGGGTCGCCAGATGACATGCAGTGGAATATCCCCCACAGAATACAAAAGGTACCTCCCCTCACCCCATATTACACGTGTTCTGAAGTCCAAGTTTGTAACTCTCTCTCCCCTGTTATTGAAAATGTGGATCTGGAAATCCTATCAGATCTTCCTTCCTTGACCTTTTTTCTAAGGTGAGCAGTGTGACTCACTAGAATGGTCATCGACTGCACTCTGTATACAAATCTGTGCAGAAATAAATTTCATTTAATCAGTCTTATTCCGAGATTAGTAGGGCATGGGACTGGGAACCAGGAGATCTGGGTTCTAGTTCTGCTCAGCCAACTGGGTGACTTTGGGCCAGTCACAGACTCTCAGCCCAGCCAACCTCACAGGGTTGTTGTTGTGAGGATAAGGTTGAGAGCAGCAGGGGGAGAATGATGTAAGCTGCTCTGTGTTCTTTCAAAAAAGAAAAAAGGGAGAATATAAATCAAATAAATAAATGAATGGGATTGCATCCTTAATTGCTTTAGTGCAGAGTAGCCTTCCTGAATAGGGTGCTTTCTAGATATGTTGGACTACAGGTCCCACCAATCCCAGCCAGCAAAGTTACCAACTGAGGTTGATAGAAGATATAATCAAAGAACTTTTCCACACAAGGCTGTCCAGTGCTGAAGTTACTTTTGATTTCATTGCCAAACTGAGATCAGAGCGCCATATAAAGAACTTTTCTCCTATAAAACTTCTAGCTGGAGCTGTGCTATGGTAGAATAGCACAAATACCCAAGTAGCAACAGTGGTTGCAGGAAGAATACCCAATTTTCCCCATTCTAGAAACAAGCAAAGGGAAAGTGCTCTGAGAAAACAGAAGTGATGCTAGAGGAACAAGATCATTTAAAGAACCTGTAAACAACTCTGAGCAAGTTATTATGAGTGCCTTGGGTAGCAAAACTCTAAGTCATCTGGAGAAAACGAGGCTTGACACTGCTGGAATAATATCTTATTCTGCAGAATTTTACTTTCCCCAACCCCACCCTGAGCTTTCTACATAGGTTGATGGGAAATGCTCCTTAGATATAGGTAATGGTCACTCAAGCCAGTTGCTAAGAGAAAGCTAAGCAACTCAATTTGAAATAAAACAAGACTCAAAAATAAGGATGCATGTTCTCTACCACCACCATCTCAATTCTGCTCTCTCCTGTTGTGCTTCCATACAAGTGAACAGTGTGAAGATAATATTGTTGCCACAGATTAGAATAAACTATTTTCCTCAATCTATGCATTTAAAATAAACTAAAATTCAGCTCATAAGCTGATTTTTTGTTCTTGTCAGGTTCAGCTTCCTTGTCTTCCATGGAATTTGTACAAATAAAACTTATTGTGTATCACTCGCTCTTTTAAAGAAACGTTGACAGACTCTAGGAACAAATGGTTCCAAAGGGGATGCTTTGGAATCCCCTTCTGAGCATGAAAAGTACCCTACTGATGATGTATAGCAAATATTGTGATACACTCCCTCTCATGTCTCTGCTTTGCACTTGTATTTCTGCTACTGCCTCCTAGGTTGATGCTCAGCTAAAAGAGTTGGTGTGTGAGTGTGCACTCAGGCCGTTGTATAGCACACAAACCTGAAATGGACAGCTGTGCATGTCACTGGGAATTCAACTAATTCTATTAACCAGGATAAGCCACAGACAAGAAAGGCAGAACCCTCATAAAAGAAAAGCTGGCTTAAAATCTTTTCACACTGGGGCTCTGTTAAAATGCTTTTCTATAGATGCTTTGGGAAAAGGAGGGAGGTTATTAATCCCAAACCCAGTTATCAACATGTTTTCCCCAAGTCTTAACACCTATAACAATGTGTATAGCCTCTTCAGAGCACATGATCAACAACATATCCTATCTCATCCTTTGAAAAAGCCCACATCAGTATATTGCTAAGGGTACACAGCAAATTTAAAAAAATCAAATATTTGAAATAATTTAATATGGATCAGTTACCTCCAATCATGGGTTGATTAATAGATATTTTTCTCACCTTTTCTTTGCACGAATGATGGAAATGAGGCTTCTGATAGGTGAGAAATGGTTAATACAGCCCCATGAGGTGGTAGGTATCCTGGAATAATAACTGCAGCATAGAAGTGTTTGATCATGCTATAGAGGGTCTAGATAGCAGCAATAAATGACTGCTGAGGTAAAGTAGGATATTGACAGGAAATTAATCAGATTATTATTTGAAGCAGAATTAAGGCTGTTTGGGGGGGCAATGCTTTTTATTCTTCAAAACTATAATATTAACAGCAACCTCTGCCAAAAAAAAAAAAAAGGAAAAAGGAAAAAACAAAATCATAACTTAGGAACAGATATAAAATCAGAATGAGGTAAAACAACATGGATTAAAATCAGTTGAATTAAATTATGGTATCAAAATTTATTATAGCCACCAATCCTTGCTCAATTTAATTGCTCCCATGTGCAAACAGGACCATGTAACAGGTGGATTGCTTTGCAGACACCAAAAACAATTTGTTGCTCATCACACTATAGTAAAAGAGCTGAAAATAAGGAATAGACAAGAACTATCTGTTTTTGAAAAGCTAAAGTAATGCAATCACCGGGGTTTGGGGAAAGGGTTTTTTAACTGTAACAAAAAATAGCACACCTGATAACATGCCTCTTTCTTGCATGCAGAATCTTTGTGATACACCATTCAGGTCAAAGGAAGGATGTTTCATAGGTGTGTTCAGGGTCCCTGAGGCAGGTACTCCTATTTATCTGTTAATCAGCCGGGTTCTAATAATAATTAGAGTTACCTTTTTCAGGAATGCCATTCTTGGCCTGTAACGCTGCCCTTGATCTATGCGTCTGATGGTCATCGTGCTCTAGTTAGTTAAGCCAAAAGGTACAAAAGCAGAAAATGAAAAATGAGGCTTAACCAATTGCAGAGAAAAAGGTGATGCTGCTGCTATTAGGGATTTGAGGCAAACAGCGTTACTGGAACTCCCTAGTAGAGAATAAAGGCAGCTGTGGAGTCAGGCAGTGTCCCGTCATAGCCAATCAGCAAGGCGCATTGAGGTCTCATTTGCATGAGTTTGAGCGTCTTTCCAGCCTGCCAACGGTAGGGGGAGCCCCGGCATCTATTCGCTTCACTTGGGGCTACCGAACTAAAGACCAGCAAAATCTCTCAATCTTGGGAATAGTTCAATGGTTAGAAATTGTTAGCAGCTTGCATTACTAACAGACAAGCAACCTTAAAGCAAAATAATCGTTGTTGGGTTTTTTTCGGTAAGTCTAGATGTATTGAAAATAAAACATCTACAGATAAAGCAGGGTTTGTTTCTTTTCCAGAATCAAACGTAAGTCTAAAATTGCTGAATTTATTTTTATTTATCTTAATATTTATATACTACCCTATTCCCATAGGCTCTGGGTTGTTTGCAAAAAATTAAACCAACAGTGAGTACTATTGTCAGTTTTATTTAATATGTTGTATTAGTCATGAGAATAATCTGGCAAGGCCTGTTGGAAGAGAGACGTTTTTAACTCCTTTATACAGGCAGGAATTTGGGAAATCAGATGCATCGCTCCTGGCAGACCATTCCACGTTTTAGGAGCAACCACTGAAAAAGTCCTCTGGGTAGTTGACATTAATCTTACAGAAGCAGGCTTCAGAAGATTAACCCTGGAGGACCTTAGCTGGCAAGCATGAGATATATGGACAAAGGTGCACCTGATGGTATTTTGGACCCAAGTCAGGAAGGGCTTTAAATAAAGGTAATTACCAACACCTTGTACTGTATCCAGAAATGTAGTGTAGAGACTTTAAAATAGGTGATATGTCTCTCTGTGATGTCCCAGAGACGATCCTGGTTGCTATATTTTATACTAATTGCAGTTTCCAGAGCGGGCACAAGGGTAGTCCTATGTAGAGCACATTGCAGAAATCGAGCCTAGAAGTTACCAACATGTGCACTACTATTTTAAGGCCATTCTCCTCCAGGAAGAGATACAGTTGGTGAATCATCCAAAGTAGCTAACAGATACTCTTGACCACAGTTTCTATCTGAACTGACATCTGAAGGGCTGGGTCAAGGAGCACCCCCAGATTGCCAACATATTTTTTGGGGGGGATGACCCCATCTAAACTGGGTGACACACCTCGAATACTGGATTTTTTCTAATACTTAACAGTAAGCACCTCGATTTTGTCTGGGTGCAACTTCAATTTGTTTTTCCTCAACCAGCCCGTTACCAATGGAGATAGAACACAAGCCTGCTCCTTTTTATTTATTTATTTATTAAAATATTTTTATGCCGCCCCATTCACCGAAGCCTCGGGGCGGCTTTTTAGAGGCAAAAGAGTGCCTCCAATTCCAAACTTCCTCTGATGATCTAGAAGGATACACCATGGTTGATAGTATCAGAGACCACAGAGAGATCCAATAGAACCAACAGGAACAGACTTCCCCTGTCAATTCTGAGTTGTAGATCATCCTCCAGAGCAGTGGTGGTGAACCTTTTAGAGACCGAGTGCCCAAACTGCAACCCAATACCCACTTATTTATCACAAAGTGCAAACACTGCAAGAAAACCTGAATACTGCGGTTTTAGTTTAGAAAAAACAACTCTTACATTAGCATCTTTTGTCTTAGAAGAAAAACACAGTAACAGAGCTTTCAATGATACAAACAGCTTTTTATTGAAAGGTAAAAGTTTGCGTTTGGCGTGCTTTTGCACAATTAATGTGATCTTTGCTGTTGTATGCATGCTGATAATTTGTCAAACCTTGGCTCATACTTTGTTAGTTTGAGAGCAACACATGCAGCACTCAGGTCATCTGTTAGTATGCTTCTTGTATCAGATTTGATATAATTTGTTAATAAAAACTAATGTATTGAAACTCACAGCCAGTCCAAGCAAATATATATATATATACACAGTAAAACCTTGGTTTGCTAGCATAATTTGTTCTGGAAACATGCTTGTAATCCAAAGCACTTGTATATCAAAGTGAATTTCCTCATAAGAAATAATGGAAACAACCCTAAAATATTCATATAAAAATGATTACAATACTGTAATATAATGCAAAATAATAAAGAAAATACAAATATAAAGAAAAATAAAACAAATTAACCTGCACTTATCTTTGAAAACTTTCGTGGCTGGTGTGAGGGAGACAGAGAGGAGGGTTATTGTGTAGGACAACTTTCAGTATCGCTAACAGAATCACTGCTATCTCTTGGCTCAATGGAATCTTTTTCTTTTCGTGCAACTTCAACAAGGAACCTATCCAATAGACTTGCTTTTGCCTCCTTTTGAGGATTTCACAGAAATGTGACACTGCATTGCAGATTCATCGCTCGCACTTCTACAGCCTTATTTGGCTGGTGCTTTTCTATAAATTTTTGTGCTGTTTCCCACATTTTACACATCTCTCTAATCGCATTTGAAGTGAGGGATTCCTCCACCTTTTTCTCCTGCTCCTCTGTAAATGAGATCTCCTCCATAACCTCTTGCATCTGCTTTAC